TGATTTTTCTTCACATAAAATCATTTTTCACCATTCCCTTTTGCAGCAAATAAGGGAGCTTCACAGCTCTCATGAGATACTAAGNTGTCTGTCTGTCTGTCTGTCTGTCTGTCTGTCTGTCTGTCTGTCTGTCTGTCTGTCTGTCTGTCTGTCTCTCTGTCCGTCTGCTGTAAAACAGAAGCGAGAAAAAAGAAATGGTAACAGAAACTCAATGCAGGGGAACGCTGAGTGTATCTTGAAGACGAAGAAAACCTTCCTGCCTCACGCTGACAATGTAATCAATGACGTCAACTCTTTGCAAAGGCTCTCAAGCTCTAACTGGGTTTCAGACGAATTTTCAAACAGTGATATAATCTGCTGGAATGAGTGTAGCAATATCGCTCAGCCTACATGTTATGGACGGAGACCCATTCACATACATTTGCTAAGGGTAGTGTTCTATTCAATACGGAGAAACTATACTAACTATGGCAATATTTTGCTATTCTACTCAGCTCTACGACTTTATTCTTTTTTTATTGAGTATATTTATCTGGCAACCTTCGGGCCCCATCATGACTTTCAAATTTCTGATAATACATTAAAAGGACGCAAAAACCACTTTATAAAGTTTAGAGATAGGATAGGGTACTAGTGTTCGAGATGAGCTTTTGCCCTCTAGCGTCTTTTGTTTCTGTTTGTTATCTTCCACTTTTGTAACCATTATGTTGAAATGTCTTTGAAACCTTCCGTACCTTCTAAAGTAACCTAAGGAGCACATATAACACATACAAAAGTGAATAAGTCGAAATAGATCAAAATTGAATCCATCAAATTAGGTTCTCACGACGAAGCAGATCCGATTCGAACTCTCTATGCCCACCAAACAAACCAGCTCTGTATACCTCGCTCTTGGGTTTTCCAACGACGACAAAATGGTGAGTTTTTTACTTTCCTTTTTCAAATTAGTTTCTTTGCAGTAACGATGGCTTACAATCGTGTTCAAAGAAAAAATCCAGAGTGAAGAAAAGGTCCGGAACTTTCAAAACAAAAAAGCGTACCTGATCGTCAATCATGTGAACGATCAATCATTCGCAATAAACTCATTGGGGAGAAGGAGTTGTAGGCGCCCAAGGTTGCATTAGACTAAGGAGAAGATAGATGAAGGTGTAGATCTATCCAAGGCTGTGTCAAAATCTGTAAAGAGCATGCATTGAGAGTTTATAAGAAAAAGTATCCTGACACGAGGTTACTATGGAGAAATCCCCGTAAAATCCCCATAATTTATTACAAAAGAGCCATTAGCTTACAATTGGCAGTGGAGGTCGATGCTCGAATGATTGGATCTCTCAGCATACCACGGACCCTTGGTCATAGGCCTTATCCTCCTGAAAGTTTATTGTGAATGTAATGCATACACATTACCAAAATGGGAGAACAAGAAAATAATTGCAAAGAAGTAATGACATATGCGTAACAGAATGTAACCAAAATAAGTAGGATTGGTACCCATATTGAACTTGCTCAGTCTCTTAGACCTAGGCCTAAAGTAATGAGAAAAACACTAGAACTTCTTCATGATCAATATTCAGGGACAAGACAATGTAATCGAATGCTCGGCGCTCACTAGTGCACAGTTATCGATGAAATTTTCATATAATCCGACTACAAGAAATATTCGAATACCAGGAGAAGAGGTAATTAAGTGGTTTCAAGGTTTTTCTTCAAGTTTTTCAAGAAAAAAATTGGTTCTTTTCTAATCAGAGATGGAATGGACATCTAAAATAAACCTGAGTACAGTGAGCCTATTTATTGCTGAGCTGAAGGTTACAAAGGTGCTTGAAAACTGTGACATTGATAAAACCTCAAAGTCATCCGATTAGTAATTAGTTTGATAGCTCTTCTTACAGTAGGCTGAATTCCATATAGGGTATCAAACTTGAATAATGTTGTGAAGCGCTATACATCTCACCTTCTATGAAAAGAATTTTAGTCGCAAGTTTAAATTTAAAATTCAATTTCACTAAGTTCCAAATCAAACCAGTTCGATACTGAAACCTGAGGGATTTCGCTAGTAGTTTAAAAGCTGGGAATCAAAGTCAATCAAACAACCAAGAACTGGTCTCACTCCTACTCACGTTTATAGTTTTTGAAACTAAACTTGCGATTTTACGTTCAAATCACCCATATTCGTAAATCATGCCCGATATCTCATATGTGCATAGATGTGTAAAAATGATAGAATCATCCTAGAATAGAGTTCCCAAGGGTCCCAAATACACAAACAACCAGCGACTTCTTATGATACATGCATCAAATAAAGGTTGATAACCACCTGAATGATTTTTCTTCACATAAAATCATTTTTCACCATTCCCAAATAAGGGAGCTTCACAGCTCTCATGAGATACTAAGCTGCCACAGTGCCTTTAGGGAACGTTCACCTTATGTTTCACCTTGTTTGGAGTAAGACTGTTGCCTAAGCAAATACACTTCCAGTCCGAAAAACAGCGAGCAAAACATAGGGAAGACCAGGAGTATAGATGAATCGATGAAATCATGTTAGTTTCAATTTGGAAATCGGGAGAAGGTTTAGTTAGTGAGCTTTTTCCCACCAGTGACAACAGAGGACACTGGCAGGTGCTGTTAAGCACTGGTAAAAATCAAAAGAGCATTTCAGTGATGTAGATGAAAACGCTATAGAACGAAGTAGCATCTTCGAGAGAGCGAGCGCTCCTCGGAACCATCCACTGCAATAGCAATTATATCAAAAAATAGAGAAGCCTTCAATTTCGAAATTGATGCGATCATTAAGTATTAACGAAATTAAACGGCTACTTGTATCGAAATCGAAGTGACCTCATTTTTACGGTAGCCTTCACAGCTAGGGCAGACACTAGAGATACAAAACTGGGACTTTCTGATCCGTTAGTATAATGGCCCTTTGTTTCAAAAATGTAAGGACATTTGTAAAATGCATTAATAAACTGCTCTCAAAAGCGTTCTTTCTAGACCATTCGCTCAACGTATTTCCAAAATGAAACGGCAACATTCACCGATGGTATGATGTACTGCTCAGCTGTTGTGACCGTTAGCGGATGGACAAACAACAGTGAAGTATGTTTTCAAGATTGTTTTTAGCCATATACATACGTAAAACAACTATTCACATACCAACCATTTCAAGCAAAGTCCAAGAAAAACTCATTACTTTGAGTTTTTAAAGTGATTTTTAGGAACGATTAATGAAAAAAATGAAATTTCTTATCGAAAAGAGATAGATAATTCATTTTTCCAAATTTCTTCAGGGGATGGT